ATCTATTTGACACTATTTTACAGCAGAGCTTTTGCTTGTTAACTAATTATCCCTTTTTTTAAATAGCATGAGTACTGAGTGTTCTCTGATACAGGCTTTAACTGGTAGATTTTCCTCAGTTCTTCTAATTTTAATAAGAACATTTTGAACACCCTGTTCTGACAGGATGACACAGCGGACAAAGATGTTTGCAGCAACTATTCAAGCGATTACTTCACTAATATGACTGCATTGGACTGCAGTGAGTATGTAGTATATTTAAGTAGCTCCAGTTTCTTAGAGCAAGTGTAAGAGGCCAAAGACGTCTAATGTAAGCTGATCTTTAATATAAAACCTCAGCTTTGCTGCAGCCACTGCTGTCTGCACTGGTTGCTTTTACATGCACTAATGGCAGACAGAGTGATGGCCCAGAGGAACAGAGAAAGCTCCTCTGGGTGCTTCCTCTGCTGCAGGATGTGGTTGGAAAACCACACAAACGAGATAAAAAAGTCAGGTTTGTTAAAGGTCACCAGCAGCCAATTCTTATCCCTTCTCACTCTGGCTTTCCCTTATTGGCTGCTAGTGGTAATCATGACCTTTTCTCCACTCCCCCTGTCCCTCTCTCACACACACACATATAAAATGAAGACATTGACAGGTACACACCAGTGCATACACACATTCAGCCCCACACACATGCAAACAAATTCACACAATCCTCCAGTCAATGATGAGGTATCTCTTTTGCAGGGGGAGCGAGGCAGAGACGGAGATCTCGGGAGTCCCGGCGTGTCGGTGAGTGTAGAATCCTTCTGCTTCCACTGGGTGGCAGCGGAGCTTATGTTTTCAAACACTGTGTTCAAAATGTGTGTTTCTTGTGTGTGTGTGTGTGCACAGTTACTTGAACCAAATGTCCTCACAAGGACACAGGGATGGGACTTACACGGAGCTAATTTAGGCTTACATCATGAGGTTACTTTAAACTAGTTTAGGTTGGGGAAAAATAGAGAATTAATGAAATTTGACCAAACCAGTATCTTGTTAGAATTTCTTTTCTTTAGCTATCTGTAGCTAATAAACTGGAGCCCTCAGAGAAATTCTCCCAAAGTCATTACAGTCCTTACAGATCAGGTCAAAAGTTTGCACACATCCATCATGAATGTGACTGTAACTGTAGGCTTTCTTTGTACTGTTCAAACGGTGGAATGATTGCACAGCATACATGCTTAGTGGCTGCTGAAAACAACAATTGGGTGCAAAGGTTTGAAATTGTTTTTGGATTTTTGAATTGTTTGATTTGGCCACCAACAAGCCACCAAACTCTAAATACTGTGTCAGAGACCACGACAGTGGGTGAGAATGAGAATTATCACAACATTCATGCTCATCATGAGTTGATGTAAACTTACTGCCTGATTGTGATCTTATAAAGCACCTTAAAAAGCCTCTGCAAGAGCAGTGTTATATGGATTTCTGCTAAAAGAAAACAGTACATTAAAAACACAGTAACACCGAAAAGAAAAAGAGGAGAGTAAAACGGCAACAGTGCTTTACACAAAGAATCATAAAATCTAGTCTGGAAGCACATATTCAACAGCCACTCAGAGAGAGGTGACGCAGCTGAGTTAATATGCCTTGATAAGTGACCCTGGAGACAAACTCCAGGGGCCCTCGTGGCAAAGCCCCAGCCAGCTTCGTTGTTCAGGCTCAAGCTAAGATCCACATTATTGAGGATCACAGTGCCACAGTTCAGATTCTTGGCAACAGCAAGGAGGGCCCAGAGGAGACACCGTGTCAGAATACGCTGAAATACAGACGTTTAACTGAAAATCAATGGTCAGTTTACAGGTTTCGATGGCGTGAACTGGCGAACAAATCTGAAGGTGATGATTAGAGAGACAGACAGCAGCTCTAGGACTGCTGGAAGTGCAATAAAAAGACACATTTTACAGCTCAGTCTAATAACTTTAGCTCACACAACACCATGATTGATTTGCTCAGGGAGGTAAAATTAATGATATTTTATCTATGTCTAATAACATCAGTCATACATGGAGAAACCTCTCGTTGCTCCGTTAGCAGCTATTTTCTCTCAGGTTCATTTGTTTCTGTGTAAAATGCTCCGCAGATGTAGAACGACATGTACAAATATATCTTTAAAAAACACACAAGCAAAAATAACGTGTGAATTTATATTGACGTATATGTAAACAAGTCACTAATTACCAAGATAGCTTGCTCACATACTTGCTTTGGCAGCTGTGACTTGTCAAAGAAGAAAAAGCAGAAGTATTACTAATAACATGAGTAATATCAGCATGTGGAACCTGAAGCAGATAAATATAATTTAGCTACTTTGTTGTTCTTATCGTGACATGGAGGAAGGCCTGCTAGTGATAAGCTCGCTAGATACAGGAGCTGAAGAACCACTCCTGGGTGGAACGCAGAACTGACTGTGAGCCACGTAAAGTATTGTTTGTAATAAACAAACAATAGGAGCTCTACATGATATTTACTATAAGAAGAAATCTATTAGATGTAATTGTGAAACACTCCGTTATCCATCAGAGAGAGGCAAGAAACAGCTGCAGAGACAGAACAACTGCTAATGCTGAATAGATGGAATTGTTGTAGTTGGGGAGTATTTTCAAGCTGTTGGCAGATGATTGTTCCCGGCAACAAGGTGAAATGAGATTAGAGAAGCAGGGCAGTATAATAGAACTAGCATGTTTTCCACATTGCAATTATCATCTTTAATGAATGTCAATAAACACAATAAGAAAACATAAAAATCAGAATGTTTCCACCTAATCTATGTAATTGAAGTGTTTATCAGTAGGTATTGATCCCTGAGGCATTGCCCCTCACGTTCCAAGACAAGGATTTGACAGTAAACTTGGAGGTGTGTGCACTGCAGCAGCCATGTTGCATCACACTGAGCCACGGCTGTGTGGTTATGCGTGCGACACTGGAGACCCATGAATGTCTCAGCATGCAGCTTAATGTTCACACTCTGTAATTCCTTAGTGTCGAGAATAGCCCAGCCTCCATGTGATGTGCACTCTAGGCTAAATGCATCAGCGGTGAATCACAAGCGTGTCACCTCTGAAATGAATTTGATATTTTTGTCTTCAGACACACTTCCTAATTCCTGCTGGCTAAAATGAATATGATTGTAGTTCGAGGGAACAAGGGCGGGTGTGCCCCTGTTTCCCAAGAGGAAGTGATGAAGCTGTCACTTTGGTACCTAAGGGATGTTTCTTGTGCAACATACTATGTCATTGATTAGTCTGTTACTGACCCTTATTATGTCTGTATTGCACCCATGCACTTTATGGCTACAGCTTGCTAAATTAGCTTGCTAGTGTTAGCTGGTGACGTCCAAAACTCCATCACTGATGCTCCAACAGGTGGCATCATGGTGGCTACAATACCTTTCACACACAGTCTGTGGAGTTTACTGCATACATTCAGTGCTAGCATTTATGAGGAAGCTTTTAGAGACCAATGAGGTAAAGTAACAAAGCAGCAAACTTAAAAACCTTTATCCCTCTTGACAGCACTGGCTCGTTACTTGGAATGACTCTAAATCCATAATTATAATTCTTTAGTAAGACCCTACACACACACACACACACACACACACACACACACACACACACACACACACACACACACACACACACACACACATGATGTTACTGCAACAGAAAATAAACAATAGTAATAATGCTATCTGTCAGATTTCTCAATAGCTTTGTTTGGAGCATTGATTCAGGTCAAAATACAAATGCACAGAGGTGGTTTTTGCAACCAGAATTACACAGAATTACACAATATTTATGTGTGTACATTTGTATGTGGTTTTTGTGATAGCCACGGGGTTAATTCTGCTGAGAATTTCTGGAACCTGAACACATTAACCTTAGTTTGCTGAGTTGAGTAACTGCTGTAGTGGACGTCGAGTCTCCCGAGCTGAACATTTTACATTGCTCAACATGTAGGGTAATTAAAGATGTTGGGTTAGGGGTTATTTTTTGCAGTTTTCAATCCTGTCTTTCTAAACTTCTATCCATGCTACAAAAACATTCCCTACGTAAAACAAGACCTTCCGTCTAGACTAAATTTTAACAACACAAGACATGGGCTGTTTATTCATTAATTCATTGAATAATTCAATTGAAGGCTCTTTAATTATTCTACGAAGTGTAAGCTGCAAGGTCTTGCAAGGCTGTTCATATTAGCTTTATGGATTTGTGTGTTTGGTCTATATTATTAACCTAAAAAATGATGAAACACTTGTGGACACTGATTGATGACCAATGACAAAGAAGGGTAACTGAAACTCTTGAATTCTGTAAAACTGAAACCACAAAAGCTGTGAGTCCTTTGACTGAAAAGCTCAGTTTTTGTGTGAAGTGCATCCACACAGTGACTTGAATAGAAAGCAACAAAGAGCTGCAGTTTGAGCAGAAACAGAAACGGCTACTGAACATGCATGAACATTTCCCAACACCAACAGTGTCGCACTGCTGGATGCATTCTCGAGTCTTTGAGTGGATGTCTGTAGGGTTTTTGACCTTAATTTCACATTGATTTTCTTCCTGTTACATCAGCAGTGCGGGTGATTGAGAAAGTTCCTTTGGCAGATTGTGCTGTAAGCCCCTGGCATTATGGCTTTAGTAAGGTTTCTTAGAGTTTCTTTCCTAAAATGATTGAAATCAATTACCTGGTCATGAAAGAAAGAGGAAGTCTGGAGCAAAAAGGGAAGCATTTCATGGAAAATGGAACATACCAACCTATCTGTAATCTGGCAGTGTAGAAGCTTTATAGAACTGTGGTTACCACTGGATCGTGTTTTTAGGGGCTAAGAAATCCACATTTTCATCACATTACAACAAAGAGAAAGAGGTGGGGAAAAATCTTTATAAAATGCATTACAATAACCAATCTAAGTCATCGGTTTGACAGAAAAGAGCAGTTCTGCATCAGCAATGCAGAGCAGCTCATGTAGTTTCTCTGACATACTGTCTTTGATGTAAGCAGAAGTTTCTAACTGTCTTTCTCTATTTTCCCCTCCTCTCGTCCTCCCCTCCCTCCCCACTCTCTTTTCTTCTTCCGTCAGGGCGAAGTGGGACCCAGGGGATGGAAAGGAGAGGTTTGTCGAATTAGACTTTGCGGTATTAGATATAATCCATTCTGTCTTATTCTGCACCACAGTGAGAAGGCCTGTCAAGCCTGCATGGCTGCTATAAAAGACTTACAGAGCCAGTACCTTCAGGCCTGTGGAAATCTGGGCCCCCGGGCAGAAATATACATCACAAAAGCACTCTTTCCCTAAGATGCACACATCTGCAAATCAAACACTTACTCTACTGTCTGCAGAATCACAATTTAAGGAGATACAACTTCCCTCAGTCGCTGCCATTTGTAGGACATCAAAACATATCTGCTTTTTGATCATTAGAAAAGCAGATATGCAAAGCTTCACTGTTATTCACTGTTTACTAAAACTCCTTTAAGACTGTCATTGCCCTACACCTATATCTGCCAAACCTTTCGCCCGTGCGTGGCACACCTGCAGGTTGACAACAACAGCAGCCTGTAAAGTCATTGTACTTGTTCTTAGGCAGGTTTACAGAAACTAGTTTCTCTTGACTGACAAAGCATTTGTATTTGTCACAAATTATGTCAGTTGAAATACCAGATTCGATCAGTTTCAGCGCTAGCTAGCTGAACAGCTAGCTAGCTGTTATTACCTGTTATTCACTGTTATTACCTATTACACAACCTTCCAACAAGCCTTCGTATCATTTATCTGCTTATGCAGTTGTTAGGAGTGTTAAGAAAAAGTGTTTAGCAGTCAGTAATTGCAGATCAGTTTTACTGTTTCTCTCTTTAGAGTGTGACTTTTTTGTGCTCTTTTGTTGCTGCTTCAGAAAGGAGTGACAGGTGATACGGGCCCCAGAGGACCCGATGGAAAGAAGGGTGACATGGGCCACATGGGTGTCATTGGTCCCAGGGGATTTCCCGGACAGGATGGGTCGCCAGGCCAACCGGGCCAACCAGGCCAACCGGGATATCCTGGCAAACCTGTAAGTGTGCCTCCTTTCTTATCTGATGTTAACAACCATAGCAGTGAGAATAAAAAAGGACTGAAAAATGTTGGAGAAAGGACACTTTCCTGCCACACCTGGAGAGGTCAGGGTTGGGAGTTACTGTGACACTGCTGTCAGTGTGTGTGAGCTACATGAAGATGGAGAACTGAGCATTGAGAAGATCCTCTAAATCTGCAGGCACGAGCCAGAGCATGTTTTCCAAGTCCCAGAGTGGCTTCAGCTGAATCAAAGTGTAATTGTGTGTTCCAGGGTAAGCCTCCCTCAGACGAACATCTCGTAAAGCTCTGCACTGATGTTCTGCGTAGTAAGTATTTGTTTGTGTTCACATCACTCTGCGGTGCAAAAACCAAAGCCGCAGTTGTCTCAAACATGCATTTCACACAATAGCTTTTCATCCATATCCACTTGTTGCAGTAAATTGGCGAATGGGCTTAGTCTAGTTTAAGTGCAGTTGTTTTGTAAAAGACAGTCTTAAACTCAGAATGAACGTGTTAGTCGTGATAAATCACCTCCTTCCTGTTTAGCCTTTGACGTAAAGAAGAATCCAGTGAATGTTTTTTTCTCACAGCTCCTTTTTTCCCACCCATAGATAAAATAAAAGATGGATACTGTACTGTCACCTGCTGGTTTGTAAAGTCCTGTTCTGAAGCCTTGAGATGACATTTCCAATGTTGCCATCTCAGTGTTTTGAAACTGGATGTGACAAATGAGGCGTGGATGTGGCTGTGAAAGCATACACTCATGGACACGAGCTGAATAATGTTCTTTTCTGCCTCTTACAACGACCAAAGGTTTCAGAACTGGTTTAATGTTGGATTCAGTGTAACGAAATTAGTATTTCAGTATTTTGCTGACTTCTGTAGGGTCATATGGCTTTTTGTCTCTTAGTGGCCATTTCAAAAATGCAAAATTAAGACAATTCAGCATGTTGTCTGAATAAAGTCTTATGTTGTCTGTACTATCAGGCTTTTTAACTGCTGCTCACAGTCCTGTCTGTCTGCTGTTTTGGGCTAAGCTTTTAGTACAAACCTAAAAAATACAGAGACTGCCTATAGATTCATATTATAAGACTGAATAACTGCAACTACGAGTCTAAAGCTGGCAATTACATGCTGTAGATTATAAGACGCATTAAGCAAAACAAAACAGTCAGATAAGTCAAACTTGACTCAGCTCATTCTTCGTGCTTGCTCCACTTCTGTACCATAGATTCATGAATGTTGAATTCTCTGCAGCTGCTCTATTCCCGTGTTCTACTGCGCGACTGACAGCCTTGAGTTTGAAATCCGCTTCGTAAGCATGTCTCTTAACAGGTGCCATTTTACAGCATGGCACAACCAGAATTCATACATAAGGCGGACGGTCAATTTTTGAGAAAATTAAAGGATTTTAAGTGCGCCTTATAGTGCGCAAAATACAGTGTATTGTTAAAGTGTGTAACAAAAGCAGATTCTTCTCATGTTGTGGCTGTGCCCTACAGACCAGCTGCCAGCATTGCTACAGAGCCTGACTCCTCACTCTAGATGTGAACCCTGCCAGGGTGTGAAGGGTCCTCCAGGTGAGCCGGGAGCACCGGGACCCAAAGGCTCCATGGGAACTCCAGGCTACCCTGGCAGAAATGGCGCTCCTGGTTACCCAGGACCTCCTGGAATACAGGGCCCCGCAGGCCTCAAAGGTTTGATATGACACAGTTTCTTAAAGTTATGAACCAGTACCTTCAGACAGGTTTATGTTGTCTGTACACAAAGCTTCCTCTCACCAGTGTTATATCTGCTCCACTGTGACAAAAAGCTCCATTCTGGCTCCTCACTCTGATGAAAACAAGGCAATAAGTAACTACACAGCATCACAAAGAAGCGATGGGACAAAATTTACGACCGCTTTCATCAACAGTTAAAATCAAAACAGTGTCAATGATGAACAAATTGGATGTGTTGATGTTCACTGTACCCCATAAAAAAAGATCATTAAACAAGCGAACATCAGTGAAAGTCAGCAGAGCAAAAGACAACAAATGCTCCACACCCATCTCAGCGAGCTGTCTGTGATTTATCACCACTTCAACACAGAGAGTGGCTAATCAGCTGTGGAAGATACCACTCCACTGCTGTGTAGCATTTTAACTTGTTAGGCCAGCCATGCAGCGACTTTGGAGGAGCTGGTTGAGAACATTAAGGGAAGACACTGAATAATTCTGTGCCCTGGATGTGCACATATCCAGTGTACAGGTAATTGTACAACTGTCAGTAATAGTTTAATTCATTTTAAGTTTATTTATGTATCACAAACCATACTGAGTGGAGAAGGCATTTTTCGTCTGAACTCTGCACACATCTGAATCTGCCAGTAGCCCTTTGTTAAATGCAGTGTGATTAAAAAAGCGAGCTATGCCTAACCAATCCAGGAACTCCTTGACCCGGGATATGGGATAACAAAACGTTCTCACTCCCAAAGCGTCGGAAGGTTGGTGGTTCAATCCCTGGCTCCTCCAATCTGCATGTCAAGTATCCTTGTGCAAGATACTAACCCCCAGTTCTCCGATGCATCCATTGGAGTGTGAGTGCAGTTAGAAAAAGCAGTAAGTTCAGAGAAAGTGTGATTGGGTGATCATGGCTTTTTTATAGAGCACTTTGACGACTCCGGGAGAGTAGAAAAGAATAAGAATCAGTCCATTTCCTATATTACGAGTTTGGAAAAACGAGGAAACATGAGAACTGTTTGGAATGAATCTACACATGTAGGTTTATTTTACTTAAATCGCTTTGGAAAACACCATCTAACACGATTAAGGTGGTGGTTAAGATTAGGGATAAGGTTAGGGTTAGGGCTGGAATACATGGCTGGAGCGTGTATTACTGCGGAAGTGTCATTGTATTCGATGTCATTCACAATCCGCCGCGTATCATGGGAACGGCCACCTTTCGCGTTCCCATGGGACGCCTCGGGATGTGACAAGTTGTCGGTATGTTACACGTCGGGAGTGAGAACCACCTCGGGATAAAGATCAAACTGTGACACCTCGTTCACCTTGCGATAGTCAATACAGAATCCTATAGACTCATTTTTTTTTCTACCACAGGAACTATGGACCGTGCACTGTGTGACTCTTTCAGCCCTATGAGTAATTTGTCTTTTGTGCTCAGGTAACCAATAGGGCCTTAAACATACTGTCATGCCAAGGCTCTCTGGGCCTGTGTGAGATGGCAGGCAGCCCACCGCCATAGCCTGAAACACAGGACTGGGGGTCATCTGCCTTCCTGTTTGGTGTAGCACCACCACCAGAGCAGGAGGCGATGAAGTAGCCCCAGACTGAGCAACCAGGTTCTCCAGCGCCCATGTCTGTCACTTAGCCTGGGTGTCCAGCTGCCGCTCATTTGCGACCATCACCACCATCTGAGCTAGTGCCTTAACTGGCTGCAGTACCTGTGTGTTCAACATGTCACAGTCATTCAGCCGACCCGACCATTAAACTCCTGCCACCATATTGGACTCGACTCATATGCTGTTTTTCTGATATGTTGTGTTAGTTTTATGTCAGACAAAACATGATGGAAAGATTTCAGAAAGTTTAGCTTTTTAAAACTGGGAAGGGCGCAAATCGTTTTTCACAGTACGGTATACGAATATCTCCCACTGCGACCTCACTTTTGGAGTCAGCCTCTAGTTGCAAGGAGAGCCACTGAACCTTTTGGTATCGTTTCCTTTTTCAGCATGGGAAGTTATTGTTTGCATGGAAAACAGACGTAAAATGTCCCCAAAACTCAAATTTACAGAAAACATGGCACTTTTGTTCCCGAAGCTCTCAGTCTGAATCTAATGTTAGTTTTTAAACACAGACTTATCATATCCCCAGGTGACATGGGACCCAGAGGGTTGAAAGGCAGAAAAGGAGATGGAGACCAGGGACCACCAGGACCACCTGGACACCAAGGTATGTTTCATTGTGCACATATTAACCTATTAACTGCTTTTACAATCCCATAACCTCCACACTGGTACTACCCTCTATTATTCACCTATGCCAGGAACTTTACCTGAGAGTTCTGGAAAATGTGTGAAAGCTCTTAGTAGTGTGGATGTTTAATAAATGCCACAGATATACCACGAATATGAACTTGAATGATATCCCATTCTTAATCGATAGAGTTTAATATAGTGCACATTTATGTACACTTATAAATGTACGTTTATAAGGCTCTTCTATCTGCTGACCCCACTCTGTCATTTTATGTGGTCGACCACTTTGTGGCTGAGTTTTTGTTGTTCCCACCCACTGTGTCATAATACCACTGTGGAGTTGTTGCATTATTTTGTAAACCTATGATCTAACTGACTTGAACTTCCTAATTCAATTATCACTGACCTAAATTAGGCTAAGTACAGAGGTGGTTCTTATTTCAATCTTTTCTTTTCCCTCCAGGGATTCAGGGTCCCCGTGGCTTTGATGGGATTGGCCAGCCGGGCAACCAGGGAATCCCAGGCAAACCAGGCCCACCGGGAGATCCTGGCAAAAGGGGTAGCCCAGGACTTCCAGGGGTTTGTGACATCTCTATGTGCTATCAGACCTACAATCTCAGGGAACACTACAGCAAAGGACCACACATCTGATGACATGGGAGTGAGAGAGGTTGCGTTTGACTTGGCACACACTGCTGACACCTTTAAGACAGAGATATCTGCAGCCAAGGCAGTTGTAACCTCATGAGCTGGTATGAACAGAAATAGGGAGGGCATTGATTCATGATCACTGAATTCATGATCAAAGAGGGTCAAGCTGGCTAGCGTCCTAGATATTTTAAACTTCTAAAGTTTAAATAGTGAATTCTAAATCCTGATTGAATCAGACGAACACCAAGAGCTGTAACTGAGTCGCATTGTTTTTGTCAGTGTAAGAGGCAAGAAGGCCAGGAATCTGAATAATAATAAATATGTCTACCTCCTTGTTTACCTGAATTACTGTTTAAGTTAATGATACAGAAGGCAAATATGATTAATACCCTCAATAAATATGTATAACTTCTATTAATTAAATCGTGGGCTAATGTGAGAAAAGCACAATTACTATAAACTGCATATTAAAATATTAAAGAAATAGAAAAGGATCAGTTCTTATGCTGTGCTTGGATCAGCCAGTGAGGTTATTTCTGTCGTCTGTGCAGCTCTGCCTCTGAGAAATGATGCCATCTGCAAATGGTAAAAAGTGCAGCACCTGCCGCGATGATGAATCAGGATCTGTTGTATGGAACACGCCATTTTCACATGATTATGTTGTGGTTCGCTAAACGCTTTGGTCAAACATATGAATCTAAACAAAGTTCAAAGGTTCATAACTGATAAAGATCTTGACCTCCTTCAGGTGCACAGTACATGTAGTCACTAAAGGTGGAAAAACATATTTATGTCATGTTTTGTGCACAGAGCATCACAATTTGTTCAAATCCAAAGCTGTGACAGATGGGTTGTTTTTGTTTTCATGAAACCTGTTACTGCTTTTAATCTGTCATATTTGTTTTCTTGTTTGCCAGTATTATGTATTCACTTTGCATTCCTTTTGTGTTGATGTGGATTACTGTAAAACCTCTGTCAGTGGCCTTAATTCACCTCATCTGCAGAATGAACAAGTCCTTTATATTTGAAGCTTAGATTAAGTTCTTTCTTCTTCTTTCAGGTGTGTATTTTATTTTAAAAACAAACTCTAATTGTAATATTGCTGCTTAAGCCACTTGCAAGTGAAAAGGTCATCCATGTCTTCAACATTATCCATCTGCTTTGGATTTCTTTTCTCTATTTTTAATACCGTTAAAATCATTAATTATTTCTAATCACTTTCCTTTTTCAATCATTTATTCTGCCTTATAAATTATACAGCTTTTTTTAAAATCTTAACAGTCTCCAAACACCTCACAGGGCACAATCCATCACATCCTAGACCCTTTTAATTCGAAATTACTGGAGGAAGTGTGGAGTTTTATTAATTTCAACCTGAAAACACAAAAACTAAAAACAGATATATGATTCAGACTCACGGGAGCCTGAGTAGTGAGTACTGTAGTAATATTAATATTCAAACACACCCTTATAGTTGAGAATTAAAAACAAACTATTCCTAATGATAAAGCTAAGAATAAGAAAATTTAGCACAGGTCAATGTACTGATAAAAACAGGGTACTATCTATATCGTGGTTTGCAAAGATATATTATTGCAGCAGTGAATATATTTGGCAACATGTTGCTATTTAGAATTTTTTTTACAAAAATGAAACGCCTATAACAGCGTTGGAACAGAAAGTTATGATACGGACGCAATTTACAAACATCAAAACAGTATACATGTTATTTTTAAATAGGTTTTACTTTGTCAATGCATACAATGTCCTTTTTAAAATTTCTTCATATTTGAAGAAAACGCTCACATTTACTGTAGACAATCAGAATACTGCATTAAGAGGAAATGTCTCTGTGACCTCATGAAGCAAAACTTCTTACCCTCATTATGCAGAGTATCTATAAATATGTGAACTGACCAACCTTTGGTCCCAGGCTCAGCTGGAGCAGCAGCAGTTGTTTGGACTTCAAGTTTGGGTTCATAGGCTGCCGCTTGGTTAATTGTTACCACAAAGGCCCCAGTGCTCCACAGAATACTTTCTTGGTCTTACACAGCGTCACAGTCACAGAACAATGAACTGAATTAGGCATCCTTCTTAAATGTAAGTATGTTTAGTCGTCCTACAGCAGGATCACAATGTGAACAAATTCATTTTACAATTATATGTTAATGATTTTGCGATACAGTACAAAACATAGCATTTTAATGCTAACAGGCTAACATTTAAATATTCCTTTTATTGTGTTTTTTAATTAACAAATTCTCTCCATTCTTTACCCAACTGATAGCTAACAGTTAACAAAATCAACTCTGCTTAGCTGTGTACAGAAATGAGTGGAAAGATGGAGCCTAATAGGGCAGTTTTATCAGATCCAGGTAGACGGACTTAGCATGATGCAGCTTATCCTTGCTAACTGTTCTAGACAAAATTCAGTGAGCATTTTCATACAGGAATAATCAGTGAAACAATGAATGCAAGTACTGGGACACAATATGGTAATTATTTTTTCACACAACATCTCCGTCAGCATTTGTACAAGGTGTTTGTTTTCATAGGGAACGGCTCCCAGAGATCCCCAATTCCACGTATGGTTAGGATTGATAAGGCATGTTATCACTTGTAGACTGGAAGGCTTTACAATTTAGGAAGCCAATTTCCCAACAAGTCTGTTGTTTAAGATTTTTAATTTTTCACTTGTCAGAATAAACTTGGCAAGATTCATATGACTGCTGCGAGTGGGGATAGAGTACAGTTAAACTGAGCTTTTAAAACCCCAGCAATAAAATTCTGACCAGTGCCTTCACCATGATGAACGGCTTTTAAAACATCCAAATTCATTTTTGCAGAAAAATTAGTGTCTACAACAAGTGAGTCCAATATCCATTAATATGTGTATATGCTATAAATAGATATGAAAGTGGTTTATCCTCATTTGCCTGAAAATGAAAAACATTTACCCATTTGTAGAAATAATGGGATTTTCATCAGGAAACTCTTTCAGATTAGAACATTTAAATGCAGCCATTTTGCATTCATTGGTTTCCACTGAGTAATATGACATAAACATTAACATAATGTTAATAAGTTTATATTGCACATAGTTATTAACTGATCACTCATCTGAATTTGTTTCTTTGTTTGGTTCCTGTTCAAAGTGTAATTATTGTTGAATATGTATAATCAGAATTGTCAGTTTGGGAGTTATTTCCTGTTTTCACCGTCCTATTTATGCGAATGCACAAATGTGTGTTAACAAGCGTGTGTTTCTCTTCAGCAGTCAATGCTGTCAAAAAGATGCTAAAACTTTCCTGTCATTGTGTTGCTATACACAGTGTGCTTTGAGGTAGCAGCCAAGAAGGGTGTAGTTTGTGTCTGTGAACACCCGTGTGTACACCTGTGTGCACACCTGTGTGCACACCTGTGTGGATGAGAGCACTTGTATTCAAAAGGTTTCTCCATGTAACGATATGCTAGGGAGTGTGGGGAGCCATAGCCCCGTCCCCCAGGGCATGAAGCAGGTATGAAAGAGATCCAGGCCCCAGACATCCAGAGGCCCCAGAGTATGACAACCCAAGGAGGACCACCAGGGGGGCAACCGTGCCACCCTCCTGGAAAGAGCTGAGGAGAGCCCCAGATGAGGGGTCACCCAGCAGCCACTGAGCAGAGGCCAGAGGGGGTTGCAGTGACGTGCCTGTGGGCTCTGCCAGCAGCCAGCTGTGCCCTAGGCCCAGAGACCAGAGGGCCCCCCAGGGCCCAGCTGAATCACAGGCGCCAGGTGCTGCCAAGCAGCCACCTGGAGTGAGCTAGTACATACATGACCACCCAGCCCCAGACACCAAGAACCACCAACGCACTGACGTCTGAGGGCATCCGCCACCGGCAGGGAGTGTGGTGGGGAGATAAGCCCTCATACCTCGGAGGGCCTGAGATGTTCCCAGAGAGGTGGAGTCTAAGACCCGACCTGACACATAGACACAGACGAACAGGCGCACACAGACAAACGTGCATTCCAACCCTCATGCACACATATACAAATACTCGACAATCACCCGATGTGGACAAAGACACAAATAGACACTGTACACACAATCACACTCCCCAAACATACTTTATACCCCAGGTCCAGGTACCCTAGCCCCCAGAGGTGGAAACCACACCTAGACCCAGGAGATGTAACCCTTTTCCCTGGGTGGAGGCAAGCAGACCACCCCCGTATCTGCAGGCCCCACATCCCAGACCCCAATCGGACGGCCAACATCTCCCAACGGTTAACAGAGAACGGGGGTGAGTGAGGAACCCCAACCTGCCTCCACCCGCTCATATGTAGTGTTGCTGCGTGCTGTTCTAAAGTGCATTTAAAACACAGGAGGGCATGGTGCTTCCTGCCAGAGAGCAGCACGGCTCCTCCTGAAAACCCTCAGTGTCTATATGCATTTAAAATTGAGGGTAGGGTACCAGCGCCAGAGGTGGGTTTGAATACACAGACCATCCTCTGGACGCTGTATAACGTGCACACCCCCCCATGTGGATGTCTAGGTTTCGGAATAAAACTGAGGCACAGGCGGCCAGAAGGGGACAGCGGGGGAGTGCCTCTCCTGCACCCTGGTGAAACACCTGCACCCCTAGCCTTGCATGTGTGGTTGATTGTGGTGGAGCGGGAAGACGGAGGCAGTAAATATTTCTTTCAAAATAAGACACACAACTACAACACGGGAAAAGACCCAGGGAAACCGAGTTAACGATAAAAACCCTGAAAAACATAAATTTCACACCCAAGCCTGAACTCTCGCGGCCTGGCACCAAAGAACTCACGGACCGATACCGGTCTGTGGCCCGGGGGTTGGGGACCGCTGTTCTAGATCAGCTGAAGGCCTTTCAGGGAGCTTTTAGAGTGACGTAATAGTCCTGTCTATAATTAATAAATGCATGAACTACCTTTTCCACTCCAAGACAAAATGTTTCCAGTTTTTATGGATACTGTGCAAACGCAAATAACAAATCATGAAGGGCTCAAACGCTTTTTCACACTACTGCATGTGTTTACTACACGCATTGAAGGTCATCCTGGTCCAAAAGGACTCCATGATTCCTCTCAGTGTTACTATAGTCCAAAGTAAT